ATGGAGAAAACCTAGGAATTTTTCGATTTCGTAGCCTAAGATACATAAGAAACCATGTATTGCACCCCTATTAAAATTTCCTTTCTTTTCCTAATGCCAAGGTTTTCCGGTCCAGTTTCATTAAAATCAATTAATTAGTTACTGAGATAGCATTTTAGTCAACGTCCGTCATCTTGGATTTTCGAATTTTGAAAATTTTACTAAAAATTCGAGTTCCCCATTCAAAAATACCCCCGAGTACCAAGTTTCGCGTAAATCGATTAATTAGGCGCTGAGATAGCATTTAGGTCATGTCCGCCATCTTGGATTTTTGAATTTCGAAAATTCGACTAAAATTTCAAGTTTCCCATTGAAAGACACCCCCGGGTACCAAGTTTCACTTTAATCGGCTGATTAGGTGCTGAGATAGCATTTTAGTCAACGTCCGCCATCTTGGATTTTCGAATTTTGAAAATTTGACTAAATCTGCCCATGTTTCTCAGATTATGACGATTAAAACAGCTGGGGACACCATATTAGACGCTTATTTGAACTCACCCACCTTTACCATCTCACTTTTTGTACCAATTATTGGTAATTTTATCTATACAGACTGATAAGCTTACCTTAAAACCGGTATTTTTACTGTTTTTTTCAGGTAAGAATACCACTTTTATTGGTAATCAATTCCCGGTAACTTTGCCAGTTTATCTCGGTAATTCTACCACAGTCGATAAAAAATATTGGCGTTTTTACCAAGGTCCAGTAAAATTACCGAGAAAGTTCAATAATTTTACCGAGATTTCTCGGTAAAATTACCAATTCCATAAATGGTAATTTTACCAAGAAAAACTGGGATCAAATAGAACCCTGAATGCTTGGTAATTTTACCCTTTTCTTAGTAAATACACCGAGATTTTTTTTCAGTGTAGCTTCTTCTGGAAAATTTTCGACAAGTCCTGACTCTTTTGGGCAGCCTTGACCTATTTTTCGCCTAACCTTATCTGCGTAACTGTAACTTAAAGAAAAGGAAAAAAAAAATACGGAATGAACTTTTTTTCTGCCCTTCCCCCCTGTAAGTTTCCGCCCCCAAAATTTCCCATTCCGAGGCACCTGCTTGTGTTACCTGTCTGAACCGAGTTTAACAGAAAGGAACCAAGCCACATCAGCTATTGCCAAATTTAATTAGGCAATTACATTTTTTACGAGAGAACTTTTGTGCGGATTCCTTTAAAATTTTTAGGGAATTTGCTTCGAACTATGGTGAATTTTCACTGAAATTTGCACAAAAATCCGCAAAACCGTTTTCATGTAAAAAATTAAATTGCTCAATTAAATTTGGCAATAGCTGATGTGGCTTGGTTCTTTTCTGCTAAACACGGTCCATATACCATTAATATCGCACTGGATAAAACTAATAACATCGACGATGAAATAACTCCATAACAACGTATCTCGGTTTGCGACGTTGCAGAGTTCTTGTCATTCTTGATTTTGAAAAACTTGACAGGTTAATTGAGATTTCTGGTGAAAATGGAGGGATTGTCAATTCTGCGAGAGAAAATTCACTAAACCTCTCTCTACACCTCGGTGCAGCAGGCCTTAATTATCTTTCAAGAAAATTCCATCTTTTTATACCTGAACCAAATAAACCTTTTGATTTGCCTCAATCCCTGCCATCCTTAAGACGTTGGAGCGCCTTCAATTTCGTTTGATACTGTGCAACACCTCTGTTGCGAGATAGTTGCTTGAAGCGCCGAGCGTGACATGCTCACTGGCGCCTACAAACCTAACAGGGATACCTCACGCATTGCGCAATGCATGAAGTATCCCTGTTAGGTTTGTAGGCGCCAGTGCGCATGTTGCGCTGGCAGCACGTCTCACCGCTCTGTGTTTGGGTCTAATATTTAAACTCGCGGAGTCAGCGTTTTTCAACTCATAATTTTGAAATTCGCACCCCTCGCCTAGTTTGTTCTAATTTATATTCAATTCTTAAAAGCTTCTATTATTTGTTTTTCTCGGTGCTCAGAAAATTCTGTGAAAACTACAAAGAATGATTTTGGTTTGTTCTCCTTAAAAAAAAAAAAAAAAAAAAAAAAAAAAAGCGAACATTTTTAAACATAGCAGACGAGATACGTGGTTTGGGCGTTTCACCGTCGATATAAGATCAAAAGGTGGAAACTGGAGAAGCATATATCTCTACTGCAAAGTTTTAAAAAAATATCTGCCATTATCGGATATTATCGGATTCGCCATAGGTATCGGATGATTCCGAGCATGAGCGCATGCTCATGTATTACGGTGACCAAATGCCAGGTACTGGCATACAATAAATCGCATCGAATTGGTAAAAAATCTTGGCAGATTTTGAATATCTAGCAAAAAAAGAGGCCCAAATCGATAGCTGTATCGAATGCAAGGTTTTCATTTTCACACTGTTCTGCTTTCATTTCTCTAAATTTTGCCAATTTTTGGATGGGGAATGATTCTTTAGACTTATCCGCAGACGGGGCTCTCGTCCTTTTTTTGGCTGAAAATTCAAAATCTGCCGAGATTTTCACCTGATCGAATTTTCTACATAATCGCATCGATTCCATTTGAATGCATGCCAGTTCTACCTCGTCACTTGAGCTTGACGAATCACCTTAAGATTCACATATTTTCCTGTTGCACACGTAACTGACATGTTTGACTCGAATATAGCTCAATCAAATTTTCCATCGCTCCTGCATAGCCCACCATTGTTGGAGTAACAAAGTTGATTAACTACATCAGGGTCTTAAAAATTTCTTAGCCATACTATTCTTTAAATTGACCTTTTAATTTTAAAACAAACCCCCTTACCTCAAAAATTTCAACGTGATTACCTTGATATATCGCTTGAAAAATTCGCGATTTTACCCCGGTTTGACTGCCGGTGCGGAAAATAATTTTTGCGCTGACGCACGCCAGTCTGCTCATATCTGGGCCGCGTTCAGCAGAAAGGAACCAAGCCACACCAGCAATTGCCAACTTTAATTGAGAAATTCAATTATCTACAAGAGAACGTTTGTGCGGACTTTTTTTTAAAAAAAACTTAAAAAACTTAAACTTTTTTTAAAACTAAAAAACTTTTTTTTAAGGGTTTTGCTTCATACTAAGCAGAGAATTCACATAAGTTCCCCCAAAATTCCGCATAACCGTTTTCTTGTAAAAAATTAAACTACCCACTTAAATTTGGCAATAGCTGATGTGGCTTGGTTTCTTTCTGCTTAACGCGTTCTCTTTAGAACCCGCTTTCGCGGCTTCCTATTTTCAAATACGACCGACTGCGACCCTTCGGTGTCGTGGTCGCGAGGTTTTTCCACCCCCGGCGAGTTAGCCCTGGTACAAATTTATATCGTCCGCATCTCCTTTTGCAAAGTCAAGAATAGCGAACGAGAATTCCATCTATGACCCGTGCAACTTGTTCGGGTCGAAGCGCGTGCACTTTATCCGGTGCATCGCGAGTTGCAACCAACTTGTAAACAACACCCCCACGAGTCGCTTTCTTTTTCGGCTCACTGCGCCCCTTGTCTACGGACAGCACACACAAAGCGCAGTTTTTTGCACGGGAAAATTTCGCATTTCGCGGACACGCTGCGATGATTAGGTTGCGCGCACTCTCTGCCGCCTCTTTGATTTATGATTCACGACTTGCAATTCATAATTCAAGGCTGCTTCCATGCATGTTGCCAAATCCCTGGAGCACCAGGGGTACGCCCTCTGACTGCTCCGCGGTTCGACCCTCCGAGGCGCTTCGCGCCTCTTATATTCAGGTTTTCAAAAGAATTAAGACAGCGGGAAGTTCTCATTATGTTTATAAAAAAGCGGGGAGGGGAAAAAGCGATTCAGTGCATGAGTGCCAATATGATGCACTGGAAAAAAAAAAAAAAAAAAAAAAAAAAAAAAACACATTGGATCTAGAGTTCAGACTCTTGAAAACATTGACAAGAAAAAATACTCTTGATTAAATCGAAATTTTGCTTGAATCAAAACGAAATCCGCTTAAATTAAGAGGCTTGGTTCTTGATTCAAGCTAAATTCTGATTGAATCAAGAGTACTTTTTCTTGTCGATGTTTTTAAGAGTCTGGACTCTAGATCCAATGTGTTTTTTTTTTTCCAGTGTGGAGGATGGAGCGTGGGCTGCTCGATGGAGGTGTAGCTCAGGCGTTAAGCGTTATGCGTTAAGCGTTGTGCGTTACTTTTATGAGTTTATATTATTAAGTATGTAAAGGAGAGAAAAAAACCGAAAGGGAGAAACGAGAGAATCGAATTGGAACATTTTTTAAAGGAGAGTTGTATAAAGTTCTGCAGTCGAACGTTAGCTCTAAAGTTGCCTTCCACCTCCTTTGTATTGTGTATTAAGAATGGACTTGCAAAAGTATTTAACACGCATGATGCCAAAATCTATGTCCTGAAGAACAATAGTCTTAAAGTAAAAATAAATCTATGCACTATTGCAGAGTAGGAGTGTATTAACAATTTATTGGCATCATTATTTTTCATTAGATCACATTTCGTGTAATTTTGTGTCAGTATGTGTTACTTAGAATCTGCCAATCTGCGTTGTCACTATGCCAATTTTTTTGTGTTTTTGTAAGAGTATGAATTTTAGAGAATTTCTCCGTCATTATAGCTAACCTTGGTGTCTGCAGCTACGTTCACGGTGACAATTTTTTTTATTCGGTTTCTAACTCAACGCACTCTCAAATGTGTCCAGAAGAACATGTCTGTTAATATATCTATTTCCTTTGCATCGACCATGTTTATGGCTATATCATTAGAAAGTGTCATACCTTTGTTCATGTCTATTTATCTTTCCCCACATATTTGCGATTTTCATAAAAATTATAAAAAACCAAATTTACTAAAAAAAATATTTTAGACAGGATTAGCTTTATCTAGGAATAATTTATGCAAAACAAGGGTTTTACATTAAGTATTTTTTAGACTTGAATTTATCTTTTCAATCCTGGTGCGACGTGGCATCAATGGAAGAGTGTGCGGCCGTGTCGTCGATTTGAGCGCATTTTGGTAATTTTAACATACCTTTCAGAGAATACTCTAACTAATGGCCATTTGAGAGCAGATTCAAGATTGATAAATCGTATTTCAACGACTGTAAAATGGATCAATGGCCTCAGAAATTCCGAAATATAATTTTGAAATACTGAGATTTAAAATTTTCCCTCGCGAACTTTCCATTCGTGTGAGAATGTGGCAAGGGCGCTGGGGTCGTCGGGGGTGTTTTTCATGCATTGCGCATCCTGGAGAGAGGTGAATCCTGGTGAAAGGCGACAACGGTGAATGGCGACCTACCTATGATTTCCATTCTGCTTTCTCCGTGGACCGAGCTGAAGGTTGGCGCCTCGGCAGAGATTTCGCATTTGTACACGCCACTTGCTATCAGTGGTAAGTTCTTGATGTAAACCTTCTTGCTGTCCGAATATCGCGTCTGTAACAAATAACCCAAAACAAACCGTGATAAGTCAGAAAAAACGCAAAATCTCTAGTATAGCGACGAGTGCTTAAAGGAACTTTTAAAAAAAGTTGTAAATTTAAGAAAAAAGAACGCTTAAAAAACTAAAAATTCCTTTCGGGAAACTCTTTTTTGGGTATCATTTTAGTCAAACTTATAAGAGGTAAAATTTAAATAATAAAAAGGTGTTAAGTAACTCTTGTGTAAATTTTAAACACTAAAAGTATTCGGAAGAAAATAGCGAAAACCTAATAGAACTAATGATTTTCTTTAGATAAGTACTTCTGTGGGGAAAATTTGTAAAATTATTAAATTTTTGAAATTGAAATTGAGTTTTCATTCAAATTTGAAATTATCCTGAAACTGAATGAATTTATGAAATTGAAATTTGAAATTTATGTATATTTTCATTGGACTACAATATTTCTTAAAAAATAACCAAATTGGACGCTCTGCTGCGTATCTTTTATCAGTATTTTTAAGAGTTTTCGAAAATTTCTTTTCAAATGTCATTGCCAGTAGGGATGAGTACATCATGTAGTAATTGATAATCGTAACATTATTGTCAACAACAGTGAACAGAGTGGTTACTAGAAGCAGAACTAGACGTAAAAATAATTACAGAACACGTTATTTCAACAAATTTTTTAAAGAAATTATTTCAGGTTATTTTCAATGAGAATCTCTCAGAGACGTCATCGCGAGTGCTGTGCAACATAATCGTCGGAGGAAGAGAAAGACGCACAGATAGAATAAAAATGTACCAAAAAAAACGAGAAAAATAGGAAACAATAGAAGAAGTAAAGAGAAGTAGAGGAAGAGGAAACAGAAAATGAAGAAGGCGCGTGTCGGTTTTCAGGCAATCGACATTTCGTCAATGATTCCACTGTCTACAACACTTCGTCTGACGGTGCAAGGGCGCGTCTCCAAGTGCTCTTGTGCTGATATTGGCGGAATGAGAGCTTTTGCAGTTGAACTTCTCAAGCCCGGTTTCGGCTTTCCGGACAATATAAGCACGACTGCTCCTCCGTTTTTAATTAAGGATGAGTAATCCATTTTAGGGGTTGCAGCCACCCCCAGGATCTCCTTTCCCTCGACGTCCTCCCATTGTGCGAGGTAAACTTTCCTCTCTTTTCCTCCACATATTCTCATTTATGTGCCGATAGTTGGTTTCACACTGTTTTCGCATAAATTTCTTAAGAGCCACTTTTTCACTGAAATGGAGGTCACTTAATTTAGAGGTAACAATAGGCTGAAACTGAACTGAGGTGTGTTCGAGGGCTCGCGTTTAGGCTAGAATAACTTTTCGCTACTAAACATTCATTTTCCATACAGTACAGAAGGATATATCTTTGCTGAACTTTTCTTGATCGATTTACATGTCGACGGTGAAACTACCAAACCACGTATCTCGTTTGCAGTGTTTAAAAATCTACGCTCGCATTTTATTTTTTTGAGGTAGACCAAATCAATATCATTCCTTGAAATTTTCACAGAATTTTCTCCGCACGAAGAGGAAAAATCACAGAGATATTCAAGACTGGACGTTAAGTAGTTTTTCATTTAAAAAATAAAGTTTGACAGGAAGTCTGCGACGTCGCAAACCGAGATACGTGGTTTGGTAGTTTCACCGTCGATGTGTATTATATGTATTATGACACTCCCTTCCTCCCCCCCAAAAAGAAGGTGGATGTTAAAAAAAGGAACAGGGTTGTATCCACTGAACAGTCGTGTCGGCTGGTCGAGATTGTGCGTTTTTTTAGTGGACATTCGATTTTTTCCGGTACATCCTTTAATCTGTTTATTTCAGAAAAAGGAGTCTTCTAAAACAGGCACGAACAATATTCGACACACTTTTAAATGCTATAGTGCAACACCGAACGAGAACAAAAAGAAAAAGAAGAATGAAAAAAAAGGAAGAAGGAGAAGAGAACTGAAAGTATGCAATTCGCACAGTAACGAGATTTTTTCGATTCCCAGTAATTCGGATAAATGATGACATGATTCATGACAGATAATCCTAAAATTAAAAACTACTAAGTTAAATTAAAGAAAACCCTAAGAATGATCAATTATACAATATTCTGGAAATATCGATGAATTTACGAAAATATTTGTGAAGTATGTTAGGATGCATTTTCGTGGTTCAAAAAAATATTCGTATACTAATGCTGCATACGAATACTAATGCTGTATACGGATACTAATACTGTCGGAGAGCCTGTAAATCTGAAGCAGGCTATATTTACGGATAAAGATACAAACAAGTTATTTCCTGGTTCTCGGCGCAACCAATAAAATAAAATTGAGATTTGACAACCCTCTTTGCAACAAGTAGAAAGTAGCAAAACACTGCTTTTATTGAGTGATACTGTTCGGATGTTTTGAAGCATAATGTACGTATTTCTTATCCTCAATGCATTTTAATATTGAGATAACTTTAAAAAATCAGCTTCAACGAATATGGAGGCCAATAATTTTATCAAAACTTAAAAATTTGTCCACTTTTTATGACGAGAACATTCGAAGCTTTTTCCCCTACAGTTTCTTTGCTATTGCCGGAATTCAGAAAATTTTACAAATGGAAATGTTCATAAGTAAATACCAACTCGGCAGTGTTGCCAGCTCCTTCAATGATTGTTTAATTATTACACAGAAAAACTATACATGGCCATTTCCAAACGGTGAGAATGAGTCGCAATCCCCACTCTGCGTAATGGTAATGAAAACTAGCGAAACTGAAGCGCCTTCAATTTCTCCCGCACGCAACAAGGACATCCAATGAGCACGAATAGTTGTAGCCAATCGTTTTGTTGTTTTCGTGTGTTATGTATCCGCACGCAGCTGGATCTTACCTGACAACACCACGTTATGTTTCAGTTTCGTCGAAAATAAACGGAATGATGACCTTTTGGCAATGTTGCTTGAGTGGTTTATTTATTTTTATTTTTTTAAAATAAATAAATAAAAGGTTTATTAATGTACCCACTTTATTATTATATTGTGAAAGGTATGAAAACCATTACTAACTGTAATACTATAATGTAAAAAGCTCATTTATGAGGTTTTGTTTCTCATAGTTACAGATAGCTGAAGTAGAACAAATTTATTTTAAAAGTTAGTAAAAAATTAAGTAAGAATTAGTTTAAATTTTTAGGAGTTCAGTACAAAAAAGTAAAAAAAAAAAGTAAAAAAAAAGTAAAAAAAAAGTAAAAAAAAAAATAAGATACATTCTTTTATTAATTTCCCGATCTTTTGTGCTAAGTTTTGACTGCTCATTAAAATTTAAGAAATCGTTCATTTTTCCATTTACACTTCTTTAGTATAAATTTAGTAATCCCTGGGGCCCCTACTTTCGTGTGAAGCGGAAGTAATTAATCTATTTTATAACCTATACTTCTATTTTTATTAATCTATTTTATTGGATGCCTCTGATTCTCAACGCTGGATTTGCAGGCCTAGTGGTCAAAAATTTTGGAATTGAGGCTGATTTGACACCACGGCCGTACTGTTTGTTCTTTTCCAGTTAAGTTCTCATTTTTGCCCTTTCCGACGCGGCGCGGTGGCGAGCTCGCCCCGAGTTTCAATATTTTACTTGGCAAAAAACCATCCTTGTTTTGTAAACAAAGTTAAATCGAAAATTTATTCCATCAATTTCCATTGAGTTTCTCATTCGTGGTCGAGTAACTTGCCCTGGCCGCAATCTGCGCTCCTGTTCTACTGTTCTGCCGCCTTTTTCTCCATTATCATAATTTCCAACCCGTGCTTTGCCAAGTCTTCCTTTCCGCTCCCACTTTTTCCTACATGGAAAATGCCATTCTTTTCCCTATATTCAAAATTTTCCTTACTTCTCCATGCAATGCTTTTTGCTGTTTAAAAGTACTCAAATGACTTAGTTTCATTTCAAATGATCAATGTTTATCAACATTAAAACGAACGTTAACAACAAAAAACTCCCCAGAATTTTTACAAACGCTCAACTATAAAATGGGGACAAACGAACGGAGGAAAAAAGAGGGGAAGAGAGGAAAAGAGGGAGAAGGGAAAAAGGGAAAAAGGGGAAATGGGGAAAAGGGAAAAAGGGGAAAAGGATAAAAGGGAAATAAGGAGAAGGGGTGAAGGGGACAAGAGGAGAAGGAGAAAAAGGGGGAAACTTGGAAAAAAGGGGAAAAGAGGGAAAAAGGGGATAGGGTGGACAAGGAGTAAAGAGGGGAGGGAAAAGGAAACAGGTAGGAAGGAGGAAAATGAAAAAAAAGGGAAATAGAAAAAAGTAAAAGAAGAGCGAAGAGGAAGAATAAGGAGAAGAAGAATAATCATAAAAGAAGGTGACAAACAGAAAAGGAATGCTCGTTCAGAAAAGGTGAAACCACACGATTTTCCAGTAGAATACACTGGAAAAAAAAAAAAAAAAAAAAAAATAGGAACACTGGAAAAAAACACATTGGATCTAGAGTCCAGGCTCTTAAAAATATCGACAAGAAAAAGTACTCTTGATTCAATCAGAATCTAGCTTAAATCAAGAACCAAACCTCTTACTTCAAGCGGATTTCGTTTTGATTCAAGCAAAAATCCGATTGAATCAAGAGTATTTTTTCTTGTCAATGTTTTCAAGAGTCTGGACTCTAGATCAAATGTGTTTTTTTTCCCAGTGTAAGCGAAGCAAATACAGCAAATCAGAAATGAGTACGGTCGCCCTCCATTTGCCCATAACCTCCATCTTGCAACATGGAATGCCTAATGTTCTTTTTTATCGCCTTAAAATTGGCAGTATATAACTTGCGAGCACTTTTTAAGTTTTTGGCGCAGTGCGTATGTGAGCCGGGGCAAGACCAAATAATGTACTTTCCTCAAAAGCGGCGGGTGATGTATGGCCCTCCGAGCTCCGAGACGTCGGATACCCCGCTTCGATAGTCCTTTTTTCGTAAACCTGCTCAGATTGAAAATGGTAATTTAACTTGAATCACTTGAATATGCGCGAAGTTAGTGACCAGTTGAGCTACTTCCAACGATGTTTCGATCGATACAGGCTCGCAAATCTGATAAGATGGTCCCTATACTTCGGTCATGATAGTATGCGACTTCCAAGGCAGGGATCACAATAACAGATTGACAAACTTTATGGGTATGAATATGTGTTCATGAATACGTAGTATACAGGGTGATTCAGGCCGACCACATTCGACTCGGTTATTCCACTTTCGACAGTGTTGGGGACCCCGGGATCAAAGGAGGAATCGACCCCAAGGAATCCGAATTTCATCGCTTTGCAGCGCCCGCCTGCCTCCTGCAAATCATCGTATCAAAATCAGAGAGTGCGAATTTTGACCAATGACATAGTACGGAAGGTCTGGATTACCCTGTATTTAAAAATAATGTCTTCAGTTTTGACTATTCCTTTTTTTAACTGACTGGAAAAAAAAATACATTAGATTTAGAGTACAGACTCTTAGAAACATCGACAAGTACTCTTGATTCAATCAGAATCTAGCTTAAATCAAGAACCAAGCCTCTTAATTTAAGCAGATTTCGTTTTGATTCAGGCAAAAATCCGATTGGATCAAGAGGATTTTTTTTTGTCAATGTTTTCAAGAGTCTGGACTCTAGATACAATGTGTTTTTTTCCAGTGCTGAATGGAAAAACACAAAGAACGGTCCATAAAAGAGTCCTAATTTGAGTTAACTCTCGACTTTCCTAAAATAAAATCTTTTATTTTAAATTCCGATGCAATGATTTTAATCCATATATTTGAATCAGGTGCCTATTTTTCAAGTTATAGGACAATTTCAATATCTATTTTGTTAGTTTAATCTAATCAGATTAAAATTGAAGGGGCATCTTTGCGCGACAATAATAAGTTATTATTTTAATTGATATTCCAATTAATTTTAACATAAGATGCTTCTTCTCCATTCGTTTTTTGCGAAGTAATCTTTATAGATATGGAAGTATGTGTCTCTTTTCTATCGTATCAAATTTTTTTTATTATTTGAAAAATCACAAGGTAAGGCAGGGTTATAATATTCGTTTGTTGAGCTGTTATAAGAAAAATCTGAAGGTCGCAGGAGGCATATGTTGAACAGCAATCTGGTGGAAAGTTCATTTTGACTAGTGTCCTCGTTTTTATTCAAAGGAAAAAAGAATAAAAAAACTGATTTACAGAAATTTTAACGATTCCCACTCTTTTGATATTTGAAAGATTAATTTTCATATGGTTTGAATTTACTTTCAGGAGAGAGGTTGGAAGGGCCCGAAGAACTTCCTCACCTTCCCACACCTCATCCTCAATCATTCATTAGAAGTCACGTTGGGGAAGAAAAAGGGACGAGAACGCTGCATAGTGCTAAGGAAAAACGCCGTATGAACATCCAGACGTTGCCAAAGTTCCTTTGATAAAATGTGTCTCCACTGAGGATAATGAGTATTTTTCTTTAAAATACTTCGGATTAAATTAAAAAAAAAAAATCCTTGAGAAATTGAGCAAGCCCCTCCAAAAATTTCTCAAAAATTTTCTCTTCAAATTATCAACTAATTGAAATATTTAAGCCTTTTTTCAATCTTAGCTTTACTTTTTTTATTTCTTATTTTTTTAAAAAAAATTCCTTTTATTTATTGTTGATTCATATTTGTGTAGCTATGTACTATGTGTATACTAAACATAAGAGGAGTTGTAATTAATTCTACAACTTACATGTTGTGTTATTATCGTTGATGCACTGGAAAAAAAAATCACATTGGATCTAGAGTCCAGACTCTTGAAAACATTGACAAGAAAAAATACTCTTGATTCAATCGGATTTTTGCTTGAATCAAAACGAAATCCGCTTAAATTAAGANATCTTAGCTTTACTTTTTTTATTTCTTATTTTTTAAAAAAAAATTCCTTTTATTAATTGTTGATTCATATTTGTGTAGCTATGTACTATGTGTATACTAAACATAAGAGGAGTTGTAATTAATTCTACAACTTACATGTTGTGTTATTATCGTTGATGCACTGGAAAAAAAAAATCACATTGGATCTAGAGTCCAGACTCTTGAAAACATTGACAAGAAAAAATACTCTTGATTCAATCGGATTTTTGCTTGAATCAAAACGAAATCCGCTTAAATTAAGAGGCTTGGTTCTTGATTCAAGCTAGATTCTGATTGAATCACGAGTACTCTTTCTTGTCGATGTTTTTGAGAGTCTGGACTCTAGATCCAATGTGTTTTTTTCCAGTGTAAAGTTATATTCATTCATAAAACATACTAAAATTTTGTGTGATTAATTTTGTTTAGGTACTATTCGGCAACAAGTAAAGGTTCATACGGCGTTTTCCCTCAGCACGGAAGAACGAGACGGGGGGGTGTTCGAATATAAAACAGATGTTTTGCGGCAGGGAGGAATGGAAAGAGAGACGAACGCTGAAATAATTGGAGCGTGGCAATGATGCCGCCTAATTTGGCCCTTTTTGCGCCCTTTTGTCGCCCGTGCTTAAATACGGAGGCCCCTGCCCCTGCTAATTACATAATGCATCAAAATGGACGTGACGTGACTTGGCTAATTTTATAACGTCCCGAGCAGCGGAAACGGCTCTCTCTTGCCGCCCCCTGAAAGACGCGCCACGCACGAGAGGGCGGGGACAGGGACAGGGACAGCGCCAAGCCACGCGGAAATTTTGCATTCACAGAACTCTCGCGCGTCTAAAACGCTTCCAAGTTTTCCACTCCTCTCCACGCGCTAAAAACCGATATTGTCGATGGAGGTTCGGGTTCAAGTGCGGACTTGCGATCTCGCCCCCTTTTGAGAGCTATTTGTCCAAATTGATAGACAGAGAGGACATAGGGAGTATGGAGCGATCCTATCAGTTTCAGTGAAATATTTCATTAAATTTCACGAGGGTGTGAAATTTTTCTTATTTTTCAGGAGAGAGGGTATATCGACGGTGAAACTACCAGACCACGTATCTCGTTTGCGGTGTTTAAAAATCTCCACTCACATTTTATTTTTTTGAAGGAGATCAAATCAATATCATTCCTTACAATTTTCACAGATTTTTCCTCGCACAAAGAGGAAAAATCATGGAAGTTTTCACGAACTGACGTTGAGTAGTTTTCTATTTAAAAAATAAAGTATGACAGGAAGTCTGCGACGTCGCAAGGCGAGATACGTGGTTTGGTAGTTTCACCGTCGATATGCAACCCGCACTCAAACACACAAATTCTACATTGTGCGAAACATGAGAAAAAACCGGTACTTTTCAATGTCTTTCATTAATTTCTGAAATTTCATGAAATGTTTCAAGATTTTATTAAAAAATTTCCAGATTTCATCATTAATGAAATCTTGCCACCCTGATCTGAGCTTTTATAGTAGATATTACCGTTATTCAGTATTACTTTAAACTACATTATACTTTTCAGTGCATACGGTGTTTTTAAGCTGAGCTAGAAATTGTGGTTCCTAATTTCGAAATGAAGTCCAACTGAGCCACGATTTTGACATGTTCGATTGCATGATTATTTACCCACCTCGACTCTGATTCCATCGGCAGGATAAGTGCGCTGCGTCTGATGGGAGCGAGGGCTGAAACGGTAGAACTCCTCGTTGTCCTTGTACCAGGTCACAGAATACAGGCTGTCCGACTCCATATCGTACTCGCACCACAGCTCTACGCCCTGGCCGCGCAGAACATACGCGGGCACATGCATCCGCAGGAGTTTCAAACAGCCGCCTTCTGAAAACAAAAAATAAAAGCATATTTAGATACAACTCGATGCAAAATCAATAAATACCAGTGGAATGGACCGGTAAACAGGTTTAGAAATCAATGATTGCAAAATATCGACGGTGAAACTTCAGGAATGCGTATCGCGGTTTGAGACGTTGCCAGTGGTGATTCTTGAAATTAGGCAACACTGTTTACCCTGGATTTATATGTGTACGTAAAAAAATCTCTTCAATTTTTTTTTTTTTTTTTTTTTTTTTTTTTTTTTTTTTTTTTTTTTTTTTTTNTTTTTTTTTTTTTTTTTTTTTTTTTAATAGAACTTGCACTGTTTCTAAATTTTGTAGCAGGAAAAACTAAGGTAAAAATAATGTGTACTAATACTCTGCAAAACTGATCGACGGTGAAACTACCAAACCACGTATCTCGGTTTGCGACGTCGCAGACTTCCTGTCATACTTTATTTTTTAAATGAAAAACTACTTAACGTCCAGTCTTGAAAATTTCTATGATTTTTCCTCTTCGTGCGGAGAAAATTCTTTGAAAATTTCAAGGAATGATATTGATTTGGTCTACTTCAAAAAAATAAAATGCGAGCGTAGATTTTTAAACACCGCAAACGAGATACGTGGTTTGGTAGTTTCACCGTCGTGATGTCGCTGCATGTGTACGAAAACGAACCGAATCGAACGAAGTGAGAGGAAAGCTTGAAGGCCACTAACAGCTTTGTGCTTGATCTTCGTACATAACTCTCCAGGCGCATGTTAGCTCTCACCCCGACGCGAGGTTTTGAACACAATTTACTTATCTATTTTATTTACTTTCTCATCACACTCAACGTGTGTCAACGTTCTTCCCCTTCTCAAATGTTATCTACCCGGCAGTCGTTTAAAAATACTACGCTCTAAAGAAGCCTCACAAGTCATTATACAACGTTATTTAGATAAAGTGGAAACTCTCCGTTCCTCTGTCCTCGTTTTCTCTATCAAGAATTGTGCAATTATTCTATAAAAAGGTACAACTTTAATCGATGCAAAAACAGACTCAAACTCATTAGCAGATTTTGTTGCCAATTTTTGACGATTCTCAGAGCTTTTTCTCTCTTAACTCTTAGAGACCCAAGCCGCACTGGAAAAAAACACTGGATCAAGCAGCCCACAAAGCACTGGATCTAGAGTCCAGACTCTTGAAAATAATGACAAGAAAAAATACTCTTGATTCAATCGGATTTTTACTTGAATCAAAAGGAAATCCGCTTAATTCAAGAGACTGGGTTCTTGATTTAAGCAAAGATCCGATTGAATCAAGAGTATTTTTTCTTGTCATTGTTTTCAAGAGTCTGGACTCTAGATCCAAGCTGTTTTTTTTTCCAGTGCGGGTTAAATTGTCCCGAGGCTGCCTAAAACCAAATGCTCCGCGGGTTGCATGGGCCAATACTTATACGAGCTATAGATATAGGTCTAAAAATACACCCTACAAATAATCAGACCTCAAATTGAAATATTAAGAGACAAAAATTGAGTCTCATCACAAGATAGGAAAGGCGTAGTCGGGCCTAGTTAAACTTTTCTCCCGAATCTGAGCGACACGTTGTTGGCAGCTTAGCGCGGAGCAATGTGAATTCACGCCTCGCGCCATCGCGCCTTCAATTTTGCAGATATGCAACACGGACATCCATCAAGCACGAATAGTTGTATCTCTGCGCCGCGCCGCCATCACCGCACCCGTCCTTTCCTCTGCTCTATTTCCATGTTGTGTCGGCTCCGTTTGCCTTCTTTGTATTGATGCTTCAAGGGCTATGTAAGCAACACACACTGCGCTGTTATCGACGCGCAAGGAGGTGTCTCTTATTTTTTGAATTTGAGAAAATTTAAAAGTAAGTTTGCTCGGGTATTTGAAAAAAAAGTTTTTTTTATTGTCATTGTCAACGCGCCGCCGGTCATGTGGACTACATTTCGCAAACAGGAATTACCATTTCTGTCTCATTTAAGAAACAATATATGTACCATAACTCATAAGTTCCGCTGTGTAGATAGGCTATTTATGAGCCAGAAATAATGGTTCCTTTTTGCAAATGTAGTTCATCCGACCAACGCACGTCTATAAAATAAATTAGCCGCCTCGGCAAAGGGTGTTTAATTCAACCCAAAATTCTGAGTTGAATGTTGGTACTGTATATTAGCATTGGACTTTGTTTTAGATAGAGAACGCATAATTAAAATGCCGAGTCATTTAAGATGAACTGGCTAAAATCACGCAGTATGATGTACGCGATAGTATAGAAACTAAAAGCGCCTATAGTTTCCAATAGCTGACATACACCAATATTCTCATCAAAGAATACGGAGCAGTACCTAATTGGTTGTAAAATATCAAAGAAAATATCATGAAGAAATTACTTTTGCGATTGTTTCATACACCACGAAGATGAAAAAACCCCGCTTAGTCGTGTAATGAGGTACTTATCTAAAGTCTCATTTTAAATGTCCGGCTATTCTCTCCTCTTTTCTCCTTTTTTTTTGCAAGGAATATAAAGAATTCAGAGGGGCAGATCGGGGTTATGACATTAACCTGGCGTGAAAGTTACCAAGTTTGAGAAGTGTACGCGGGACGGAAGCGGAAATGACACCAGGCGACAACGAGCGCGCAGCGCTATCTCGTGGCGGGGAAGGGAAGGGGCCCTTTCCCTCTCCTCAATCGAACTCGAAAGGTTGCCGGGAGGAACAAAAACGTCATTCATTTGTTATTCAATTTGAATTTATCTACTTAAAACGGAAAGTCTAAGTCACCGATGGATGAATTTGTATGCAAAGCCGGTATCTTTTCTAAACCTCCCCCTGCTCGTCCCTTACCTTCCTTTTGTTGCCTTGTCTGGTAGCCTCATTCTTTCTCCTTCACTTGAAATGTTACTCTGAGTTATATCCTTTGAAGTCTCCTTCAACCATTTTTAAACATTTACGGATAATTTACTGTGTTTTGTGAGTCAGTCGTTAAACTTTTTAAATCGTTTCCCTCTTGATTCTCGATAGCGGGTTAAAATCATAATCGAACAATTTTTTCCTTTTTTATTTTGGTGCCTGTCACACTGTCACACAAGATAGCGCTAAGATTTCTAAAAAATACCCAGATCCCTAGAAACGCCAAAAAACAAAATTGAAAACAATTTGGAACAAATGTAGAGGAGAATACTGAAACCGGAAGAAATTAGGCGAGGACGATTTAAAACAAACTATACCTCGAGCAAATAACTAGGGAATGGTCTCATGCTTACTTCCTTAGTATTTTAATACAAGAAACTTTCCAGCCTTCCCTAAAAAAAGTAGCGCACATGAAAATTCTTCTATAAAAAATGTTATCAAGATTAGGTCTGCGCTCGCTTTGAATCGCTTTTAATTGACACACATAGCAAACTCTGTTTTTCTTACTCATTTGATGAATTTAGAAAGTTGGAAAGAAACAACGCGCATTGGCGCCTACGAACCTAACATGGATACTTCACGCACAACGCGCATTGGCGCCTACAAACCTAACAGGGATACTTCACGCATTGCGCAATGCGTGAAGTATCCATGTTAGGTTTGTAGGCGCCAGTGCGTCGCCGTCGCCGCTCCGCTTTGTATTAGCATCAGCGTTTTACAACTCATGATTTTGAAATGTTTGCACACTCTGTATGGATTATTCTCGTTTTAATTGTTGAAAAAAAATATTAAAGGAAAATATAACGTTTGTTTTGTAAATATTAAGGTGGTTCCGTATCAAACTTAATGATTTCCAAAGGACACGAATTTCTACACAATTTCTTACAGCCTTTTATAGCCAATGGCGATAAAGTGTAAAGCCCGACTGTATACTTTTTTATAGCTTCGTATAGCCCAGCTATATGATTTGCTCCGCTTTCTACAGCCAGCTATATGATTTTCAATAGCCTTCTTTAGTCGGCCATAAGAACTTTTATGGTATTTTTGAAACGCAGCTCGTATCGCCAATTTTTACCAGGGTAGGTCGGTACGGACGAGTTTTCTCATCGATTTTCTTGGAAATGGTGTAGTTTATATATATAAAAAAAATATATTCTATATAAAGTGTTTGAAATTGTATCCAAAGTTAATTTAAGCAAAAAAATCGGACGTTACGGTCCGTTTCTCATACTTTGAATTCCGGATTTTGCTGGTCAGGTTGTACCGATTTACGTCACAGGGTAAAAAATCCTCAAGATGCAAACACCAACCTCCTTTTTTTTCACACTGGTGTACACTGGAATAAAAAACACATTGGATCTAGAGTCCAGACTCTTGAAAATATCGACAAGAAAAAATACTCTTGATTCAATCGGATTTTTGCTTAAATCAAGAACCAATGAGCCTCTTAATTTGAGCCGATTTCCTTTTGATTTAAGCTTAAATCTAATTAAATCAAGAGTATTTTTTCTTGTCAATGTTTTCAAGAGTCTGGACTCTCGATCCAATGTGTTTTTTTTCCTGTGCAGGGTGAACAATCCTCAAGATGCAAACACCAACCTCCTTTTTTTCTCTACGATGTAGCCGTGTCTTTTGTGCGCAACAGTTCCACTGCCGTCGAATCTTAATTTGGACGTCCTTCCGTTTTTTTTCACAATGACAGTCCATTCCGTACCGAGAGAGTCATGAAAGAATTTCCCGGATCCTTGCTCAAGTTCCGGGAAACTTTCTCGGCGGCTGGTTGACTCAATAGCAAGATGAGTTAAGTTCCTTGTCGTGGAGTATTCGGGAGGAGAGCGGGAAAGAGAATGGGAAAAATATCCCACCTTGAAGTTACCTATTCGCGAGGAGTTGATCAAAGCGCTTCATTCTGTTGGAGGGTAGTTTGAAGGAGTCGCGGAGGAAGAAGGCGGCGGCGGAACGGGTGTGCTCGGCTGCATGCTAAATGATCGAGCGCCCTCCGAATCGATGCGTTTCATTTTACTTTGAAGTCCCTCTTGAGCCGCGTCCTCCGTGCTTGGCGCTTGCTGCTTGGCGAGGGGCGATTTTTCGCGT